ATGGAGTCACTGGGGCCCCCACTTGGCTTCTGAGCTGGACTGTTGTGCCCACCAGCTAGTAGGCACTGTGGCCCATGTGCAGGCTTCGCTCGGCTGGGGCACTGGCCCTGCTGGAAACCGGGAGGGCCAGGTGTGGGCATTTCTGCCAGCTACCTGGGACAGAAATTCAGCAACACACTCAAAAGGAGGGGTCCTGGGCCCTTGCTAGGGTCCACCTCTGACTCAAAGAATGGATCTTTGCTAGTATTTGATTTTAGCTGTTTTTCTCGCTGTCTTTCACTCTCTTTGTGCTCCATCAGCTCTAGGGCCCTCAGCTTTAGGGAGCCATGATGGGCCATGGGACTTGAAGTTTTGAGAACTATCGCGTCTAGAATCATATGGTGATGGAATCTGAAAAATGTGAAATCCTTCTGTTAGAATCTTAGAATTATAGAGCTTGCACTCTTAAAATCTTGGAGTCTTTCCTCTGTGGAGTGTTAGACTGGATTCTTGCAGCCTCAGCTGGGCCCCCAGAGTGCATGTCCTGGCTCCGACCTCCTCCTTCTCCCGTCCTCCTCCTCCAGCAGGGGCTGTGAGGCCCTGAGTAGAGGCAGGGTCCTTCGCTGGCTCTTCTCTCTCCCAGGAAAGCCATGTCTGGGTCTGGGCAGCAGAGCTTGGGGGTTGTGGCATATAGGACGCTCCAGGCCCAGCTGGAAGACCCACCCTGACTTTGCCTGGCCCACCTGGCCAGGTATTGAGGAACAGGCCTGGATTGTAGCCTTGGGAGCTGTGGGGTCTCCATAGGGTGGCTCTGGGCGGGCTGCTGGGCCCATTAAGTATTGTGAAGTATTAAGTTCCTGTTTCTTCTTACTAGATCAGTTTCCCGAGGCAGCCTTCATGCTGTGAAGCTAAACTCAGAGAGACTCAGGGTCTGGGCGGCAGGGGAGGGGGGTCTTTCTAATTTTCCTGAAAGCTTAGCTCAGTCTGAACACATTCCTGAGGGTCAGCCCAGCCCCCACTTCTTGGGTCCTAATCCATGTCTGAGTTTGGGCATCTTATCTGACGATGTCTTGCTTTTCGCTAATCCCTGTCTACGCCAGACCCTCCCTCCCAGCAGACATCAGGACACAGGTTGTCATGGGAGAAGTGAAGAGATTTCCGTGTCTGGAGGAATCTCCTGGAGGAGTTTGTTAAAAATAGATGCCCCTGGGGCTGGCCTCGGGGATTCTGACTCAGGGAATCATGGTGCAACCCAGGAATCCGCAAGATGAACGGCCCAGGAGACTCTAACACAGGGGGCCATGGCAGACTGTTGAGAGACCCCATGAGGTGGGAAGGAGGGAACCTAAAGGCAGATGGCTTGGTTGGAATGCTCTGGGAATCTGTTTCCTCACTAGAGGAGAGGGGATGATAACACTGGTAAGAGCCCCACATGTGGGGTCTGGCCTATAGACCAGCAGTTACTGCAATGTCTGTGGCATCAAGCTCCTGAGGCGAGCCTCCCACGGCAGCGTCCCTGAGCCTTCCTGTGTCACAGAGCAGAGGCCAAGTCATTGTCCTTGGTTTCCCTGAAGGGGAAACTGGCCAGCTCCAAGGCCACTCTTCACGCCAAGTGTTATGGCAGGAGCCATTTCATGGGAGGCTGGGTCAAGGCCAGCAAGTGGTCTAGGCATGTGTAGTGTGGCTCCCTAACCTCCCCTTGGGTTGTCTCAGCATAACACACTGTTGAAAACAGCAGGACCCCAGACAGACCCTTCCACCATGTCTGGGTAATCTCAGCAGGGCCAGGCCTCCCAGAGCAGAGATGGGCTTCCTGAGCAGTGTGCATGCCACCCATCCAACCCCTAGGCCCTGCTCACCCCTGCACTCTGCTCTGTGCCCCCAGGGCTCCGCCATGATCACTGGCCCGCCTTCCTATGCCACCACCACCATCCACACCCACTCAGCTCGGGTCATGCCTGGCGACTCTCAGCAAGGCCTGGCAGGAATGAGGTGAGCATCAATTGAACACAGCTGAATTAAGAATCAGCACAAGTCCAACCCTGCTGTTGCAAGCAGCTGAAATGACTCTTTGGATTATCTGCCTCAGTGAATGAGGATGGAAAGTGAAGCGGCAGGGCTTGGGTTCTCCTGGAATAAATGAGGGCTTTTCCAGGGGGCTCTTCCTCCAGGAGGAGAGGGGGAGATGTGAGGCATCCTGCCCCCATCTGATGGCCGAACTGACTGTTCCTCCCAGGACCCACTGCTCCTTCTGCCGCCGCTCTTCTCCTCAAGAACTGGCGGTAGCTAGCCTGGGCATCACGTTCAAGCTACCTTACCCTCCTCTTAAATCAACCCTCACTCCCCACCACTCCTTTGGCTCATCCACACACGACTCCTCATGGTTGACCATTCTGGCCTCTGTATCTTTGGTTACATTGTACCTCCCACTTGGAATGACCTCTCTCTCAGTTTCTGTCATTTTCAAGACAGCCTCCTCCATGAAGCCCTCCCTGACAACCCCAGCCCATTTGAGCTCTCTCTTCGTTTACCAGCCAGCATCAGACACCACGTGCTTTATGTTATCTAATCAAGTGTGGTGGAGTGGGCATTGGGAACAGATGAACACAGCCCTGCTCTGCCCCTTCCTGGCTGTGCAATCCTGAGCAAACTACTTCCCCTCTCTGAGCCTCAGTTTCCCCCCTACCCATGCGAGGAAACAGTCCCTCCTCACAGGGCGGTGTTGTACAAAGTGTTTTGCATGCCTGGTGCACCCAGTGCAATTTTCTCATTTCACAAATGGCAGATGGAGGCTCAGTGAGGGCAAATGACTCACCCAGATCCACGTCTCAAGTTAGTGACAGGAGCTAGACTGCCACTCTGGGGTCAGGACGCATCTTCCCTAGCATCATGGGGCATCCTGTCCTTTGAATGCATTTACATTATTCTCTCTGGCAAGAATCTTCCAGCCTTTAGTACAGTCTGGGAACCACAGGAACCCGGGAGAGAGACAGGAGTGCCTGAGGGTCTAGCACTGGGTGGGTGTGTGTGCCGGGGTGGCCTGGGCCCTGGGTCCTTCCTGGGCTTTAGCCAGGCAGGGGAAGGGCTGCTGGGCAAGCACAGGAGCTGCCAGTCTTCTGGGATGAGCCCCTGATCTGAGAGGGTGCAAGGCTAGTGACTGCACACAATGGGGTGGCAGAGAGCTCCCTGAGAGGTGGCAGCATGGGGACCAACCAGAAATGATGGGGAAAGTCCAGCTGATGCCATCTGAGCAGGAGGCACCTCTGGTTAGTAAACTGCACTGTCCCTTAAGTGTCCCCGACTGCCCTCGCCACCCAGCCCCTACTCCGAGGCTTCTTGGTCTATAGCACTAAGACCATCCTCTATTCTGATAAATCTGCCCACATCTTACCAGGTGATAGGGATTTTGAACATCATCGCCCAGGAAGAGCCCTGCTGATTAACAATAACCCCATCTGGGGGGCCTCGTGGGCAGTAGGAATACCAGCCTGGCCCTCCACAAATCTGCTTGTCACACCCCCTGAGAGCAGCTGGTCCCTATTTCCATGGTGCCCTGGCCCCTGTTCACAAGGCAGCTTTCTTTCCCCCGGTACCAACTGTGTGCAGAGCAGCCGGAAACTCCTCTGACACTGCTGGGCAGGTGGAGGCTGGCACTTGGGGAGGTTGAGCCAGGAAAGGATTAGTAACCAGGCAGCGGGAGGCTCAGAGCTGTGTGCCCAGGCGAGTGGGCCGAATCAGTGGAAGGCGCTTGGCAGCATGGCCTGCCCCTCCCCACCGAGCAGCGAGCAAGAGGGGGTGGGGGGGGCGCTGCCCTGGCAGCAGGGAGAGGTGGGCATCCGCCCGCACCCGAGATAGTCACAGTGATATCTGTTAACCCTGAAGTGGGGACACAGAGGGTCTGGGTAGCACCCTCACTCTGAGAAGCAGGCTCATGGGGGCCCAGGCCCACTGAGGACTCGGCCCTCAAGGGTGAATGGGCAGACGAGCTGGCTAGCAGACACCAGCCTTGCAGCTTAGGACAGGAAGCCATCTGACAGCAAGCACCGAGTGCCAGCCCCCTGTGGGGCCCCAGAGTAGTGGGGGGCGGGCTGGGGAGATGGAGTTAATCTGAGGAGCATCAGGGCAGCTCCCTCCAGAAGGTGACCTTGTGTGCTGGGACAGCTGCCACCCGTGATGGGCAGCTTTGGGGCACAAAGGGCGGCTGGTTGGGCCAAGGCTGGCCAGTTCGTGGGCGGCCAGCCAATGCCTTCCCTGTGGCTCACTCTGCTGTTCCCCCCAGGGGCCCCTGCTCCCCTCTTAATCCCTTCCTTCCCCTTCCATCTTGGGTTCTGGAGAACAGGTGAGTGACAGACGACAGGCTGGTTCAGGCTGCCCCACGGGCCACCTGCGGCCGGGATCCTTCCCACGGGTCAGTCTGCATGGACAAAGGGGGACGGTCCCGAGATGTGGAGTCTCTGCCTCTCCCTCCCCAGCTAGACTTGATATCCACAGCACATCCTCCAACCACCCCCCCCGCCCCCCACCACCTCCTCCTTCCACACAAAGATTTCTGATTACATGTGAGTAGGAGCGCATTTACACAGAGATTAGCGTTGACCAGGATAAGGTGATCTTACCTGTGGCTATGACTGGGGGGGTGGGGTCCATGGGTGCTCCAGGACCCCCACACTGCCACTATCACAGCTTACATAACACCCCGACCCCCTTCCTCTGGCCCGGGAGAGCCGAGTGCACCCCTGTCAACTCCCTGCTCCCGATGCCTCCCGTAGAGGATCCCCCTGCTTTGCAGGGCATCGGACGCTGAATTCTGAGCCACTCTCAACTTGCTTCTTTTGTTGCCTGTGCTTTGGACAAGCCAGAGCCAGAAAGGCCACGTGGACCTTTGGGGTCCTCCAGGTGTTTTCTCAGCCCCGGGCCTTCTAGAACCCCGAGGAAGGAAGGGTCCCTTAGAAGAGCACCATGGGTCACTGGACATGTCCCAGGGTGTCAGGGTCTCTCTCGGAACTTACAGAGAACAGGGGTCATTTTATAACTAAAGTGTTTATTTCCATTCAGTTCACTAACCGATTGTTCTGCTCACATGCCTGCTTGTTCGCTCATAGGAGGGAGTGTGTGGCCAGACCCCAGGGCTGATGGATTTCCGCCCCCCCCCCACCGCCCCCCGCCCCGGGGCTAAGACCTTGAGACTTGGGCAAAGTTGTGGGGGGTGGGGGGGGAGGGGGTCGGAGAGAAACCATACACTTTCCCCTTAGAGGAAAGGAGCGTCTGCGCATGTCTCTGAGGGTGACACTCTGCAGGGCTGGGCTATCACAGTGAATGATCCAGGGCCCGGCTTAGGCTCCCAGAGGCGAAACTGGGTTCTGGCCATCTGAGGGCGCTCAGGAAACTCCAAGGGGCCTATTTGCCTGGGAAGCACTGGGCAAGGAGGGTGGAGAAGAGGATAAGGTGTGTGGTTCTGCAGCCTGCTTCCTTCTCAATCTGGTGCTTTCAAAAGCAGTCCTGGGTGGGGGGCTCCTCCACCCTGGCCCCTCATCCTCCCAAACCTCACTCAGTCTCTGAATGGCCCAGATGGGCCCTGTGGCAGTTGGCTTTGGTGAGACCTGGCAGCGGGGGGGATCTCTCTGCAGGGGGAGGAGGGAAGAGTGTCAATGAAAACCATATAAAAAATCCAGAAATGTGCATATAAAATCTCGCCCTTGGTGTATTGCCTAAGTCAGTAAGCAGAAAGCACCTTCTTCTGGGAGAAGGATCAAGTCCTCAAAAGGTAGGAAATGTCAAAGTGTCACTTCATTGTCATAAAAAAAAACCCCAACAACCCCCCCAAACCAAATCCACCCCTGACCAAAATACCCCCGAGTCCACGAATTGCTGTAAACAAACCCAAATGCAGGAGCAATCCTTCTCAGTGGCAGTCATAGCTGATGGCAGTCACCCTGCGACAGGCCTCCAGGCGGGGCTGCCGGGCACCGTGCGTGTGCGACAGGGACGTGGTGCTGCAGTCTTGGGGGGCCGGTCATCCTCAGGAAGGCTGACCTTTCCGGTGTCCCCACGGTCTCCCTGACTGAGGAGGACAAAAGCCCCCTTTCAGCCCCGTGAGCCGACAGGAGAAACAAGTCTTTTTCATCGGAGTTTCTGAAATAGTCTCCAAAGACAGAAATTCTCCGGTTTGCCCAGCGGCCGCGGGAATGGTTCCCGTGGTGGCTGCCCGTCTGCCCGCCTGCCCCGTCTGCCTGGCATGTGGCTGCTGGGTGAGGCCTGGAAGAGCAGCCCAGGGACGGGAGAGAAGGGTGGCCCCTGTCTCTCCCTTCACATTGGTTTTCCTGAAACTGTTTCTTGGCTCTGGCCAGGTCGCCTTCCCAGAGGGAGTTGGAGAGAAACTGCTTTTGGTGTCCGATTGGGACAAATCGCGTGGATCTCCCAAGCCCTTTTTTTTTTCCCCTAAGAACAATGATCGCTTTCCTTATGAGAATCCTCTTTAAAAAATATTCCTTGTATTTCCCGCCCCCTCCCAGGATCTGTTTCCTTTTGTCCCCGTTCCCTTTTTTCCATCATCTGAGTTGCACATATTCCTGGTGACATCTCATGGCTGGAGCGCTGCTCGGTTCTTCCTGCTGCCCGTGGCCTCCTGGCAGGTGGCTGAGCCTGCGGTGGATGTGGACGGAGAACCAGGGGGCCGGCGTGTGGGGCGGAGGGGGCGGGGGCCTGGAGGAAGAGGTGAGCCGAGGCAGGTGAACGTCAAACCTCCACAGACTGGATCTGGTTCATCTGTGCCCGCATCACCTGGATACTGTTCAGGATTTTTTTCTGGTGGCCAGCCAAGGTGACCCCAACCCGGAGAATGTCCCTTTGGGAGAGAAGCATGTGTGTTAGGGAAATGTGGGGGTGGTGGGGGACTTTGGGCCAGGTGGAGAGCTGCCTGGGCTTCTCCAGGGGTTTCCTGCTGAAGAGAGCAAAGGAGGGGGTGAGTGGGTGGATTCCCAGTGTTGGAGTGACTAGTGGGGATGGAAGGAGCACGAGAATGGGAGTCAGGACACTCAGGGGCATGGGGTCTCCTCTACTTCAGGAAGGAGAAGGGAACTTGCATTTATGAAGTACCCACTCACTTTATATCCCTTTGATCTTCCTAACAACCTCCGGTTTACAGAAGACAACTGGGGCTCGGGGAGGTTCTGATTTGCACTTGGCCACAGGCAGACCTGGGTATCGATCTGAATGTGACTCCAGAGTTGGCCATCTTGCTCCTTGGTCCCACACATCCCTGCTGGGACACTACCTATTCCTCGCCCTCCAGAGCTCCCTGCTTGGTGGGATGGTTGGGGAGGAGTACTGGTAATGGTGGGTGGAGGCAGCTGGGCACTTACTCCATCATCATCTGTGACACAACATCGAAGGAGGTGAAGCCGGCATTGGCGAAGCTCTCCTTGTACTGCCCCATCTTGATGGCCTCCAGCCACTCGTCCACCGTGTTAAAGCTGGTGTAGTCGGGGATGGTGCGGTCCAGCAGCGGCAGGTTGATTCTGGAGGCGGGGGTGGGCAACAGAGAGGGTTAGGGCAGGTGCCGGGAGAGGGGCGAGGGTGAGCATGGGCGCCGCTGCAGCTTTGGACTGGCACGTGTGTATCCATCTGCGTGGACAAAGATGAGTGTATATGTATGTATTTGTGTGTGAGAGTGGGTGTGCGTTTGCACCTACATCAATGAGCACACGTATGCGCGTGAGGATGTGAGTGTGAGTGTGTGTGCAGGACTCAATGCTGAGGCCACCTGGAAAGCCCGGGGATGCCTCTGAAGGGGCTGCTGGGAGGCTGGACACAGTGGTGAGGAACGAGATGCTCCTCCAAGCCTCTGATTGTCAGGAGGAGGGAGTTCGGCCGGACTAAGTGTGCTACAATTCGCTGTCTCCTCCATCCTTCTCCACCCTGGGTGTGCTCTGGGAACCTGTGGGTTGCTCCTCCGAAGTCTAGACAAGGCTGGCGGTGCTCATGGGAGCTGGCCAGGAGTGAAACGACCCTCACAGGGCTAAAAGCTCAGAGTGATTTTATGCAGAGAGTCACGAGTGGCTGATGCAGGGTCATGGTGGGGAGTGACAGGTAGAGGCAAACGCACACTGTGCGCCACAAAAACTTGGCAGGTGAAGGACTTGGGCCCAAGTCTCTGGACCAAGCCAACCCTGGACCCTGAGGACCCCTGGCTGGACACCCCTCAGAAACTCTGATAGGGTCCCAAAGAGAAAGAGTGTGCAGGGCCAGGAGGGACAGGGGTCGGGGACAGCCACCCAAGCAAGGCAGTGGTGGCCCCAGGTCTGAAGGAGCATGCCCGGGGACCACTGGGAGAGGGTGGGTCTCAGCATTGCTGGAGCCAACACTGGTCCAGCTGGGCCAGTCTCTTTGAGTTGGGGATGGAGACTGTGTGTGTTTATGTGTGGTATGTACTTCTGAACACGTGTGGGCTTGGGTGCCCAGGGAGTGTAGGTGAGAGGGCCTGAGAAGGGGTGCGTATCCGTGTGTGTGTGATTGTGTGTGTGGGAGCATAAGCAAGAGCTCTTGTGCCTAACGATGTGTAGGACTGTATTTGTGTAAGCACGCCTATGTGTGTGCGTGCACGTGCATGCACGTGCATGGCTGTGTTGAGGAGGATGCAAATGTAAGTTAGAGGTTCCAGGTTTGAGCGTGACGGCAGCCAGGCAGGAAACCCGGTGACCAGTCAATCTGTTTACCAAAAAAGATTCTGGTAATTTTTCTTAAATGCCATCCTCTCTGACCATGCTTTAAAAAGTGCTTCCTTTACCATCTCTACCACTTCCTTCTCCTCTTCTGTGTCCTGGACTCCTCCGCACCCCAAGGCAGGTCTTCCCGGACCCCACGCTGTAGTGCAGAGCCCTTCCTCAAGCAGGGGGAGCCTGGCCAGGGGCGGGGGGGATTTGGAGTGAGGAAGGGCCAGCTGGGGACGGGGTGGAGACATACTGGGAGGAGGGGGTGGGGCCAGACCAGAGCCGTACCCAGAGGAGAGGGGTGCCATGGCTTTGAGGCTGTTGGGGTTTCGGATCATCTTGTCCAGCGTGTTGACGATCTGGCCAAACTTAGGCCGGTGGTTGCGGTCCTTCTGCCAGCAGTCCAGCATGAGCTGGTGCAGGGCGCTTGGGCAGTCCATGGGGGGTGGCAGCCGATAGTCCTGCTCGATGGCATTGATTACCTGGGAACGACACAGGGCCAGAGTGGGGTGGGTCGGGTGGGATAAAAAGCATCTGCCTCTGACCTGACCCATCCCCCCCTCCATAGCGCAGGACAGACCTATTTGGTTGCCATGGTAACTGCCTCCGCCTCCTGGATGCAGCCCCAGGGATGGGCCTCACCTGGGTTCCCACCATCTATGGCCTTAGTCTGACCCGGGGTCTGTGTGCCGGCCCCCTCTCCCAATCTCGGGAAAACCGGCACCCTGAGATAACTTTTGCCTCAGGGCCTACCAGGTTGACCCTCCTGTGGACCACTTTTCCCCTCCCTTTTCTGAGCCTCCTCCTGGCTTTGATGGCCCTGAGGACTCCTCTCTCTGGCCCTTCACCCCAGGGTGACAACAACTCTTGTTTTCAGTGCCATTTACTGCTCCAGGTGAGAGATGTCTCTCAGGTCAGGCCCCTCAGCATGGCTGCACAGGGCCCCACCTGGCTCCTCTGTCAGGAAAAGGACCTCAAACGCCTCTCTCTAATCTGTCCTGCCACTAGGCCCAGATTCACCTTCCCCAGCTGGACTGTGGGTCACCCTCCCTGTTCAAGAAGCTTCTTCAAGTCCTTCCTGTTCTGTGTCATTGCAAATCAAAATTTGTTGGGTTGGCTTTCAAATGCCCCATTATTGAACCTTATCATCCTTTCTGACCACGTTTCTACTGCTCCCCAGCACGATCACTTAGCATCCCACCTTTGGGCCTTTGCACAGCTATTCTGCCCATTCGAAGCCCTCATATTTCCAAGTCCTACTGCTGTGTGTGTTCCCCCTGTCCTGGGAAGACTTCCTGGCTGATCTTGCTCACGTGGCCCTTGACTCAACACCTACAGGACTCGACACCTGCCTTCTCCAATTTAGCGCCTGATTGTAAAGTTCCTGATAACAACAACTGGTTCCTGGAATAATTGTCTTGCCCCCCACTTATGTGGGAAACACCTCAGGGGAAGATATGGTCTCATTTGGGGTTGGCCACCAGGTGAACGCATCTTGAAGATTTGCTAAATTGTGGATGTGTAGGCCTTTCCTACTCTTGACCCCTGGAGAGTCCAGAATCCTGTGCAGACATTCGAATCAGCCAACATTGGGCTGAACCCAGCCCCCTTGGAAACTTACGTCTTGGTTGGTCATGTCCCAGTAGGGTCGTTCCCCATAGGACATCACCTCCCACATGACGATACCATAGCTCCATACATCACTGGCTGAAGTGAACTTCCGGTACTGGATGGCTTCCGGGGCCGTCCAGCGGATGGGGATCTTCCCACCCTGGGGAACAGAATGAGGAGGGTTAATGGGTGGGAGGCTGATCCATCTGGCCTCTACTCTCAGTACTACTTTTCATCCTATGTCCCGTGCTGTACCAATCCCATGAAGCACCTCATTCTTTCTCGAACTCACCATGCTGCTTCAGGCCTTGGCAATTTGCACATGCTGCTCCCCCCTTCATGAAATGCCTTTTCTCACTCTACCGTCTGGAAACCTCTTCTCATCCTTTAAGTATCTCTGAAAATCGTTCCCTAAGTCCCCAAAAGTTACTCACTCTTTTTAATCCTACAACTGTGTCCCATATCTCTCCATCAAGGAGGCACTTCTAGAGAGCAATACTCAAACCATTTGCCTGTGTGCTTGGCTCTTCTTGTACTATTTCTGAGCTCTTTGGGCAGGGGCTGTGTCTTATTCCTTTCTGTTTAAAACTCTTCAGCAGGAGAGAGTCCTGAGCTTAGGCATCAGGGACTCCAAGATCAGCCCTGCTTGCCTCTCCTGAGTTACTGCCCACCGCCTTCCCGCTTACAGTCTGTGTTCTAGTCACATCTTGCCTTGAGAACATGGCATCTGACAACCTTTCACTGGCCCTTCAGCTTTCAGCTCAGATATCACCCCCCTCTTAGTAGGGGTCTCCCAAGACAGGAGTCCTGACTTATAGCTCTGTTAGTCCATGTTTCTCTGCACATCTGTGTCCCCGGACAGCCTATGAGCTCCAAGGCGGCAGAGACTGTGGTTTGTGTCTCTCTGTCTCCAGGGCCCAGCGCGGTGCTTGCATGAACAGGTGTCGGTGAAAATGTATTGAAGGGAGAGATGGACATCTATGCCCTCTTGCCCGGTACTGCGACCCCACTGTTCTCTGCTTCCATCTTACCAGCGCACTGGTGTAGGTGGGGTCTGAGGTATCATCCTCCAGAAAGCGTGAGAGCCCAAAGTCAGACACCTTGCAGACCAGGTTGCTGTTGACGAGGATGTTGCGAGCGGCCAGGTCGCGGTGGACGTAGTTCATGTCTGCCAGATACTTCATGCCGGCCGCGATGCCCCGCAGCATGCCCACCAGCTGGATGACTGTAAACTGCCCATCATTTTGCTTTGGGAGAAGTGGAGAAAACATACAGTAAATGGAAGGGCATGAATCAGAGCTCTGGATCATCCACACAATGGAAAACCAGAGCAGGACCCTGCCACCCTGGCCTCGTGCTCGCTGTGGGAAGGATTCAGATGCTTGCAGGGGGTGGAGGCTTAGAGAGGCCTATGAGAGGTCAATTTCAGGGTGGTGGAAAGAACATGGGCTTTGGAGTAGACATAGCTGGTCTGATGCTGGCTCTACCCTTTGCTGGCCGTGCAACCTTGGACAAGCGATCTGACTTCTTGAGTCTGTTTCTCCATCTGTGAGTTAAATGGGGATAAGTTATACCCACCTCCCAGGGCTGTCTGAGTTAAATAAGAAGGTGCATGGAAGGTGCCTGGCACATACTAGATGCTCAATAAATGTTTGTTAAATGGCAACTAGTCTAGCAGCATGCTTCTGTGCTCTTTGTCCAGCTGGTTGACTGTGATCTGGGAGGATCCGGAAACTTTCCTCTCTTGACCTTGTGCTCTGGACTCCATCCCCCAGCACATAGAGCTTTGGAGAAATCCAAAATCTGGTGAAAACCCTGGGCCAGGATTCAAGAGACCTGGTTCCAGTCGTGGCTCTCACTTTGACCCTCTAGGTAAGCTTGGGCAAACTCTACCTGTCTTGGAGCCTCACTTTTCTCTTGTGCATAATGAGAAAGCTGGCTAAGAGCATAGATGGTAACAGATTTCAGGTTGTATGCCAACTCTGACTGACTGGTTGTGGTTTCCTAGATTGAAAAGGATTCTGAGATGGCTTCCTGGTTTAGTGGGACAGAGTTCTGGGCTTGATTAGCAATGCTTGCCACGGGGAAGGGAATGGAAAGAGGCAGCCTGCAAGCCATTCCTGACTTAGATCTTTCCCAAGACCCCATCAGGCTTTGACGCCATGAAGCTATGTCCACCTCTCCTTTTCCTCCCCATCCATGGGCCCCTGGCACTCTTGGTTCCCCTACCCGGAGGAAGGAGTCCAGGGAGCCGTTCTCCATGAACTCAGTGATGATCATCACAGGCGTGCTCTTGGTAACAACACCCTCCAGGTGGATGACGTTGGGGTGGTCAAACTGGCCCATGATGGAGGCCTCGCTCAGGAAGTCCCGGCGCTGCTTCTCAGTATAGCCTGACTTGAGTGTCTTGATGGCTACAAAGATCTCTCTCTTGCCTGGTAGTTTTAGGTGGCCACTGCATACCTCGCCGAACTCCCCTAGGACACACACACCAAGAGAGGCAGGATGTCACTTGCCAGGTGGAAGTGCCATCTCCCACTCCTTGTAGCCTCCACTCCTGGGTCCTGAAGGAGCTTTTTCTCCCTAGTGGTCAACTCATCGTCTTAGACAAAGAACCCCTTTGTAGAATGTGGGGACCCAGAAAGGTCCTAGCCACTACTAGGAGTAAGAGTAAACACTTCACAGGTGTCCCATGGTATTTGGCTGGGCATGGGGTAAGGCTGTAGGGGAGGCCGGGGAGATGGAGAGAGGGACCTGGATGAATGGTGGGAAGAACAAAGCACTAGACTGAGTCCAGAGAATGGGGTTCTAGACCTAGTTCAATCTCTGACATGATATGCAAGCTCCTTCCCAGCCCCATGCCTCAGTTTCCTCATATGTCAATGAGGTGATTTTACTGTATGTCTTTGAGGACTCTTCTACCTTGGGTATTCTGAACCTTCAGGTCTTGGAGGATCCTCTGAGGTTCCTGCCCCACATCCTACGCTCTGCCCCAATAGTACTCCCCACTCATGGCTGAGGCCATGGTACCTGGGAGAGCACCAGCCACCTACCTGCTCCAATCACCTGCTCAATTTTGACACAGGAGATGTCAATTTCCTTGGCAAACTCCCGCACTGCCTCATTGGGGTCCTCATAGGTGAAAGGGTCGATGTAGATCTTCATGCCTGGGGTCACTGGGGGATAAGATCAGGCTTGGTCACATGCACAGACTCAAGACGTGGACAGATGGAAAGTCTAGAGCTGGTCCCTCTGTGGAGGGAAATACACTCCCATGTGGCCCCGTAAGAACTAGCCAACCCTTTGCAGGTCACTTGACCTCTCTGGGCCTCAGTGAGCAGATGGGCATTGAGCTGAGTAGAAGGGTGAGGAGAACAGAGAGCTCAGCAGAGAGAACAAATAGGTTCTAGCTCTTGTTCCAACTCTAACTGATTAGTAATGTCTTCCTAAAGGAGCTAAAGGACTGTCAGGATTGATTAGCAATGTCTGTTAAGGGTATGGGCATAAAAGGATAGATAGGTTTGTCACTCTTGTGTTAGAGAATCAGGGGGTGCAAAGTAAAGGAAGAGGAAGTCAAGAAGGAAGAGAGATCTGGAACAAAAATACAGAAAGAGCAGGCAATAGCCCATGTTCTTGGGAGTCTGCTAAGGAGACCTCCCTTTCTTTTAAGGCCTAATTTAAGCATCCTCTCCCTTTAGGAAACTTCCTGGCTGTCTCAGCTCTCCCAGGCAGGCCCCAGAGCCTGGAGGGCTGCCCACTCACCAGGGTCTGAGGACCCATGGTTTCTGGGTTCACTTCCCAGGTTCCTCACTAGCTAGGTCTTAAACCTTTCTAGATCTCAAATTCCCTGGTGATCAGTGTGAGGCTGGACACGTGGCCTATTAATTTGACTCTTGATTTGATGTACTTTTTTATTTGATGCAGAAATTAAGGATGTAACTTGGATGCCAAACACCTAATTCTGACCCTACCACTGAGCCAGCAAAACACTTGGAGGGAAGGGAAGGATGATCCATCCCACATTCTTCCTCCCATATAACTGGTCTTCTGCTGCCCAGGCCTCCCTCTGGCTTCCCCAGCAACTTGCCCACATTCTCCCATTGCTCCAGGAGCCATGACTTTGGAGGCAGTAGCTCTAGGAGTAGGGAGCTGGAATTCCTGGGCCATAGTAAGGCTTGACTGGTTGGAGTGGGGCCATCAACCCTGCTCAGCTGTGTGACCTTGGACATGTTAGTTGACCACTCTCAGTGTCTATTTCAGACATTACAAGAATCTAAAGTTGGAACCTCTAACACATGGGTTAGCAAACTGGCCCACTGACTATTTCATAAATAAAGTTTTATCGGAACACAGCTGCATGCATTTCTTTGCCTGTGGATGCTTTCACACTCCAGCGACTAAGTTGAATAGATACAATAGAGACCGTGTGGCTGTATGGCTTTACTCTCTGGTCCTTTACAGAAAAGTCTGTCAGCTGCTGCTCTAATACATTAGCTTTATTTTGGATTATTTGTGTGGGTGTTTGTCTAGCCCTTCATTTTATTTATTATTTAAAAGATTTTATTTTCAAATCTCCACCCGCAACGCGGGGCTCGAACAAAGCTCTGCACACAATATACACTCAATGTCTATAGAGCTGAGAAGAATCCAGGTGACAGAGATAAAAGAAGAATGATTGCAGCTACCACTGACTGAACCCTTGTGCCCAACACTGGGTCAGGCTCTTTATATGCATTATCTCATCTGCACCCAACAACTCTTGGAGGAAGGGAAACATTATTCTCATTTCATGCATGAGGGAACTGCAGCTCAGAAAGCCTAAGTCATCTGCCCAGGGCCACACAGCTAGCAAATGGCACAGCCAGGACTTGAATCCAGGTCTGTCAGACTTGAGCCTAGGGCCAATACTCTTAATCATCACGCTCATGGCCTCCTGCATGCAATCCAACCAGATCTGGCCCAGGCCTCCTCCTCCTGGACTGTTCAGCCATGACTCCTTCCCCAATCAGCACTCCTCAGAGCGGGGACATCAGTTCCTGGGAGATGCTCCTTCTCGCTCAAACTCAGTGCCTGCTCTGTGGTTCTTGGTGACTTACTTTCAGCCTCCCTCCAACAGGATTGAGGGAAACCTTTTCTGTCAGGCCTGCTGCAGAGGGAGGACAGGAATAGGTCAGCCCCGGCAGCTAAGGAGAAGTGCAGCAGGAACTCAAAGCTAACTCGGGCACTGCCAACCGATCAGATGTCATCCCTAAGCCTTGGCCTGGAGGGCTCTCTGTTGCTTGCAGAACTAAGGCAAGTGCCTTCACCTGGCATGCCAAGCTCTCCGTGTTGGGCCCCAACTACAGCTCCCTGCCCCTCTGTATGCCAGCAAAAAGAATTATTTACCCAGAGGTCCCAGACACACCTTATAATTTCTTGCCTCTGTGTTTTGTTCGTGGGGTTATCTCCACCTGCAATACCCTTCTCTTCCTCTTTGTGTCCAGATCAAATGCCACCTCCTCTGTGAAGCTTGCCTGGATCCTTCCAGGGGAGATCCATGCTTTCTTTTTAGGCTCTGAAGCCCTGTCTCTGAACCCACTTATATGGCCCTCCTATCTTGTATTAAGTCTCCTAGATACGCATGCCCACAGCCTCCTGCCACCCCTTTCTGGAACACTGCTGCCTGTGAGGACTTGCTTTCCACTCTCTCCCTCAGGGGCATGGAAGCCATGTCTGTCTAGTTCATGCTAGACCCTGGCACAAAGAGGGTGCTCACGAAATGCTTATTGAAAGAGTAATAGCATTACTTACTGGAATGTCCTCTTTTTCTCTTTCTGCCTGTTCGGGATCATGAATACCTCTGAGAATCTGACAGAAGCTATGAATCTGCTCCTTGGAAAATTATTTACCTGTGTGTCACACTCCCAGATTCAGCATATAATTTTGGAATGTTCACGGGCCCGTGAAGCTCTTGGGGTCTGTGAACCCCAAGTTACGAGCCCTTGCTCTAGAATGTTTTCTCTGGAGTACACATGTGAAGGTGGTATTCAGTAGATACTTATTGAATGTATGGCTCTGAGCTGTCCCTGCTTCTATGACCCTCTGGTTTCATCTCCTCATTAACAACACAATCTGCTCACAATTCAGTGTGGATTTGCCAGGTAGCAGGCCCTTGTAGCAGGTCTAGGTACTCTACAGGTATCTATCCAATTAACCCTCCTGAAAACCCTACCAGGTAAATGCTATTATTAGCCTGAGCCTTATGAAATTGTTAGTATTTGACTGTTTCTGACCTACAAAACGGGCAATTTCATTTGGCCAAACCTAATATTATCCCCATTGTTTGGAGGAGGACACTGTGGGATAAGAAAGGTTAGATGACCTGCCCAAGGGGACATGGACAGAGCTGATAAGTGGCACATGAGGGGTTTGAATCCAGGTCATGTGGCTGTGAGTCTACACTTTCAACTGCTTCCCCATCCTGTATCCTGGAATGGAAGCGGAGCTCCTTGCGGCCGAGCCTTGCTCAAGGCCCGGCTCCCAGGACGGTATTTGCTGCACTGAAGCTGGATGAGGATCTCTGGAGTCAGAGTCTTCAGAAAATACCGAGCTGTTGTTTGGATGACTTACGACTGTCAGGGCCACTACCTGCTGTCCTGAACCCAAAGGGGAAATTCAGGGTGAAGGAGGCAGGAGGAACCAGACTTTCAGAGACCTGGTTTGAATTCTGGATCTGCCAGTAATAATAATCATAAATAAGCTCCTTTATGAGTTTGAATTGAGGATCAACCACAGTATTGATACTGCTGTGTGCCCTTGGGCAAATTACTTAACCTCTCTGTGCTTCACTTTTTTCCATATCTACAGTGGCGCTCATAAACAGCACCTACAAGGTGCTGGTCTAGGTACTTAACTGCAAGGATTAAATGAGAATCTTTTTAAAGGGCTTGATATAGTAGTTGGCAAATAGAAAACACTGAATAATTGTTACCTGCTATAGAGAAGAGTTGGCTATTATTAAATATTATTAGGAAGCACTTTCATATCCATTAATTCATTTAATCCTCACAATTCTGTGAAAGAAGCATCATTCTGGCTACTTCCCATGTAAAGATGCCAAGGTTCAGAGAGGCTCGATGACTTCCCCAAGGTCACAGAGCTGCCCAGTGGTGGAGCAGGGATGAGAAACCAGGTTGGTCCCTCTGGGTCGCACCCAGGTACCATAGACCTTGGTCCTCACTCAGCACCTGCTGAATGATGGGACACATGAGCTGGTGAGGGTGACTTCAAGCCAGCCACACACATCTCCAGGCCTCAGATTCCTTCTCTGTCCCGGCCACACAGGGTTGCTGGTGGGTGTGGGACCACAGGGCTGGTAGTGCTTTGAAAAAACCAAGGCTCTTTCTTAGATGCAGGGAGTAGGAGCTTGAGCTTTAGAATGTGTTGATCCATGAACAAATCCTGGGCTCTATTTTAAAAATAAATCCCTGCTGTCCCCTGTTTCCTTGTTAGTGACTCACACGCTCAATAGTGATGCTCCCACATGGCTCCAGGTGACAGAGCATGTGAGCCCACCTTTTTCCAGCTTAGTTGGGTGTGGACAGCATGGCGTGGCGAGGAGTGTGGGCCTCAGCTCCGGCCCTGAGCTGCTGTGTGACCTCTCTGGGCCTCAGTTCCCTCATACTCAATTATATTACAAGGATAATTATAAGGATTAAATGAACAAATGCACGTAAAGCATTAAAACAGTTCTGGGCACACAGAACACCCTCAATACAGTTAGCTCTAACTATAACCATGATTTCATTACTTGGGGAATAAGAGGGGGTGACGTAATTTATGACTTTTAATGTACAGGTGATTTCTAATTTCGGTGTAGTTAAATTGTTCTGCCTTTTTCTTGTGAGCCTTCCATTGCTTTTAGGCTTAGAATATCAGTGAAATAGTTAGCTAAAATTGTCTTCTGAAAATTTTAATGGTTTAATTATTTTTTACATTTATGTCTAAAATGGTTTTTTAAGCTCAGGAACATTTACTGCAAATTGACTGTTAACCCAGAGGCTCGATATCTAGAACTCCTTGACTCTGCTCTTTCTTGCACACCCCACATCCAGTCCTGCAGCAAATCTAGTACTTTTAGAACATGTCAGAATCCAGAATCTTCTCTGGATGATTCCAACAGCCACCTCACAGATCTCCCTGCTTCTGTCCTGCCTGGTGTCCTACAGCCCCTTCACTCCATTCTCCACACAGCAGCCAGAGAAGTCCTGTCAAAACTGTAACTCAGACTGTGTCAGTCTTTGGTTCAGAACCTTCTAGAGGTCCCCCATTCCACTCAGAATAAAAACCGAGGCCCCGCCATGCTGACAAGGACCTGCATGCTGGGGCCCCTCGTACCTGCCCCTCCTGCCTCCCCACTCTGCTCCAGTCACACTAGCCTCCTGGCTGTTCCTGAAACCTGCCAGGCACACTCCAGCCTCAGGGCCTTTGCACTGGCTCTTCCTTCTGCCTGGGAGGCTCTTCCCTCAGGTCTGTCCATGCAGCTCACTCCCACAGCTCGTTCGTGTCTTTGCTCAACTAAAACCCTCTCAGTGAGGCTGCCCCCGACTGCCCTATCTGAATAGGCAGTTCTATTGACCTTGCAATTCTCAGCCCATCACCCTGTTCTACTTTGCCTTTTGCCGTAGCACTTTCATCTTCTAGCACGCCATGTGCTTTTCTCATTTACGACCTGTATTTCTTTTGTTCCCCGGCCCTCTCACCAGAATCTAAGTTCCGCAAGCGTGGGGATATGTGGTTTGCTTACTTGTGTATCCCCAGCTCGCTAAAACAAGTGCCTGCCATACACAGCAGGTCACAAAGACTGTGTGACACGTGAAGGGCTATGCCGATGGCCTCTCTTACCCAGCGGCATCTCAGAAGCCCCAGGGTACCCCACTGAGTACAGTTTGAGAAGCTATATCGGACCCATTTGGAATTCCCATTTGCTGAGCGAGTGGAAGAGAGGATGAAGGTTCTCCCTGCCCTCCTCCCCCCAGCCTGCCCCATGTCGGTTCTGCCAGGGTAAAATCGAGAGGAATCTATGCTCTGCTTCTGCCTCTGCTGGGCCCCTAGAGAGGGGCTGTCTGCTCTGGGTGTACAGCTCCTGTGCCCCCAGTCCTGGCCTGGGATGGGATGGGACAGTGGGGGAAGTGGAGGCACCGGGTGGGGGGCAGTGGCTATCAGAGGGGTCACCAAGGAGGAGCGACAGGGCCTGCCACCTCCCGGGCCAAAGCCTGGGGTCCTCAGCATCTCATGCAACTCATGGATTTATTGTGAAAATAGGGATCTAGTGTCTGCTAAGTGCCGGGCAGCGGGCTGGCGTTCGGGGGCACAGGTGAGTGTCAGAGCCACTTTCACGTCTCCGGGTGCTCCCACCATAATGCTGCGGAGACAGGGACATGGCCCTCACGATGCAGGCAAGTAAGGGGGCGCTGTGCAAGCACAGACGGGGCCCTAAAGCCAGGGTGGGGCGGGGGTCAGGGGAGGCTGCTCAGAGCGGTTTGTATGCGCTGCGGCTGAGGGAGAGGCAGTTACATGGGTAAAGAGAAGGCGGGTGATGCTCGGGGCAGAGGGGACGGCAGGTGCAGAGGCCAAGAGGGCAGAGTGAGCTTGTCCCGTTCAGGGAACAGCTTGACGTTGAGTCTGGCTGCAGCAAGATGGGAGGCAGTGGAAGGAGGCTGGAGAGCTTGCCGGGGAACTGACAAGCAAAGGGCCCTGGGTGCCGGCCCTGCTGGGGTGTACATACTGTGGCCACTGGTGTAGTGCTGCAGCTTGTCCGTGTACTCCGAGTCAGCACGCTCAAACCCCCGTCTTCTGGAACAAGAGCAAAGGGCTGGAGCCACCTGGAAGCCCCGGGGAGCTGGGAGCCACAGTAGGTGATAGGGAGAGGGAGGGCAGGCCCTCAAAACCACACCCCTGCCAGAGGGCTCCCTGCCTTCCCCTGGCCTAGCAGCCTCACCCTTCCTGGCCACTCCCCTCCGCCCCCATCCCTTCCCACCTCTCCAAATCCAGGCTCACCATTGCCCCATCCCCTCTTCAGCCAAGCCCTTTTCAAAGTCATCTCTCACGGCCCCAGAAATCCCAGGGCTTCTGTCCATCTGACCTTAGGGCCCTGTCTGATCTAAGGAAGAAGAGCATTCCTTCATGCTGAAGTATTAGTGTCTCTATGTGCCACCTCCATGAACAGTGGGCTTGTCAAGGCAACTCTAGCCCAAAGGGATGGACTGGAGCTAATGGTGGCCAAGTAGGTGGGAGAGTATCCAGGCCTGCCCAGGCCTCTCCCTGGCCCTGGGAATGACGGGAATATCACTTCGGCTCACAGACTCTGTTCAGGAATGGTTGAATAGATGGACAGCCAGGCCTGGACAGGGCTGGGGACACCCACCCACCTGTTGCACACGATGGCAATGACAACCACAGCAATGAGGAAGACCAGGCCAGCCGCCGAGGAGCCGATGATGAGTGGCAGCTTCTCCTGGATGCTTGTCTGGTACTCGGCTGGGGGAGAAAGCACGTGGACGTTGTCAGCCTGGCTCTGGGAGTCCTAACGCCCCCCCCACCCCACCAGGCCTCCTGGGATCCCCAGACTCTGTTCCCACTCCTGAGAGAGCACCCGTCCCATGCCGAGATGGAGAACCAGCCGGGACACACTCACAGGTAACCTTGGACAAGTCCGTGGACTGTCCAACCCTTAGTTTCTCATCTATAAAATGGGCATAATACCTCAATGTCGGTATGAAAATCAACCATAATAAGAAGCTGACATACAGAGAGGCAGCTGTAAGCACAGACTCGGAGGCCAGACTCCTTGGGTCTGAGCCCTGACAGTGCCTTCCTGTCTGTGGTCTCTGGTGAAGTGACTTGTCTCTCTGCAGCTTAGTTTCCTCATCTGTAAAGTGGGGAGAAGAGTCCCCATCTCAGAGGCTGGTTGTATAAGCACGTAGAAGGACAGGTGGCAGGATAGTAACCACTCAGTAAATATGAACTATTATTGTTATTGAGCGTTTTATTCTTTTGGTCACTGTGCTAAATATGTTATGTATCTTGTTTGATTCTCAGAATCCTCCTATGATTCAGTGCCCAGGATCACCCCATGTGCAGATGAGGGCACTGAGGTTTAGCGATGCCATGACTAGCTTGGGGTCACAGAGTTAGAAAGTGGCCAAAGCCAGCATATGAACCCAGGTCTGTGTATGGGCTTAAATGAGATAATGCATAAAATGCACTCAGCATTGGCCCGGCTCTTCGAAACCACTCGGCACATTTTCAATGCCATCAACACCATCATTGTTTTTAATTTTATTATTATTACTTTTCGTTTGCGTCCATGACCAGACAAGAGCTTGTTGAAGTCAGGGACCGGGTAAGTTCTGGGTCCTTAGCACCAGCGCACATTTGCTGAGTTAATAAAGAAAGGGTCTTGGGACAGTCCCCCACACCCCAGGTCAATGACATCCATCCAACATGCAAGAGGGCCTAGAGAGGTGAAATTGCTGGCCACAAGGAGGTGGGGCTTTACAGAGGAGGTGCTGTTAGCGTTCCAGCAGAGACGGTGGAGTCATTAGGGAGGATGTTTGTGATAAGATGAGAGTTCATGGGTGTAGGAGCCTCTGAGATGTTCAGCTAGGCAAAGGCCAAGGCCCGTGAGCAGTGGTTAAAGCAGACGCTAAGAGGGGACGCTGGAGTCTGGTCATAAGTCAAGCTACCCTGGAGCTGGGCTGGTTGGTGAAGGGGCCGCTAGACTCACAGCAATGACATCAATGACCTCAACTACTATTCAGTGAACGCTAACTACGTGTGAGACCTAGCACCAACCCTGGGCCAGGTTCTATATGTTTAGCCCCCATCTTTACACCATTTTGATAATGATGATGATGATACTGAGATAGTTGTCACCATCCCCATTTATAGATGAGAGAACTGAGACTCAGAGCTGCTCAGGGCCACACCGTTAGGGCTGAATCAGCACTGTAATTTCCATCTGTCCGGCATCAGAGCCCACGCTCTTAACTCTGCTGGTCCTCAGAGGTTATTAGAGCAGGAAGGGTACTTAGAGACCATGGGGTCCCAGACTGGGAGCCACGCAGCATGTGGGCTGCAGCTTCCCCTTCTCTTGCCCAGGGCAGACATCACTAATCCATCCCAGCACTTCTTCCTGCTGCACTTCAGAATTCTTCTCAATCCAACTGCAAGTCACTGGAATAGCGCATGGGTGAAACTGGTGTGCTCTCAAAGACTGAATATGATGCTTTCAATTTGGAGATGAGAAAAATTTGGGCCAGGGGAGGGAAGTGACTTGCTCAGAGTGTCTCTGCAAGTTAGGGCTGAGCTCCTGACAGTCCTGCAAGAGGAAGCTGCCCGGCTGATAGGATGGCAGTGGGGTAGTCCACGTGCTGTCCAGCCACGGACACCAGTGGATGGCTCGTTTCCGGCCGGGAGGGAGGGTTGACATCCAGAAGAGGGAGCGCCTTTTCTAATTTGTACAAAGGCACTTTGAAGGAACAGGGACCTTCAAGTTGATTCTGTTTGTGGAGCCAATGGCCTCCTCTTGCCCTCTGGATGTCGCTCACCTTCTGTCATGGTCTGGAAGTACATCTTGCCACTGTAGCGCCCGTAACCTGCCACGGTGCGTGCCCGCACCTGGAAGACATAGATGGCGCCGGCTTTGAGGCCCTGCACAGTGACCGTGTTGGTGGGGCTTTTTATGGCTGTGGCGTTGTACTCACTGAGCTCCTGCCGAGGAACAGAGAAGACCATTAGCAAGGTGGTTGCCCACAGCGGGCCCAGAGCCCACTCCTGCCACTTGGGGCGGGTTTAGCCACTAAGATAAACATCTGTGGTTCCCAATTCTTCGCTCCCTCCCTGTAACAGAATTACACACCCATACTTTTTGCATGTGACTTCCCACAAAAGAAGGCAGAGTATGTTTCTCTGCCTCGTGGATGCCAAATTTATCCATGTGTCTTGCTTTGGTCCTTGGAACATTCTAGAGGACAGGATGCAAGTGGAGGCTTTACATGTGCTTGTTGAGTTGGCTTGGCCTCTTGTGCTCCTGCCTTAGGCCATGATGGGGCTGAACCTGGGTAACAGCTGGTTCCAGAATGAGAAACATGTAGGGAAGACCTTGACCTAACTCCTAGGCTGAAACAGGGCCACCTCAGTTGACCCACAGACTCCAACCAATGAGCAAGAAAATCGGCGCTTAGAAGCCATTGTATTTCGGGGACTGTTTATTTTGCAGCATCATCCTCAGTGACAGCTGATTAATGCACAGATGCTGAGTGGCCTAGACCCTGAGGTCTAGGCTGTGAGTTCTTGGAGACAGCAGGAAGAGGGCCTACCTTACCCACTTCTGCATCCTCCTCCCTGCCCCATGCCTTGATAGGTTACATGGAAGGACCCCTGTTCAGCCACAGTACACTTGAGTGAGGCAAGAATTAAGGCCCAGATGGGGAAAATGATGCTCAAGGTCATGCTTGAGCTTGTGGCTGCTTTGGCACTCAAAACCAGGCTCCTACACGGAGCTACCTCTAATGTCCAAGGCTTGAGTACCCAAGACCTAATGTTCCCTCCTTTGAGAGCTGCAGAATGCCAATTCTGACCTGAGGACTGCCCAGGGTGACCCAAGGAGTACGGGACAAGACAAAGCTGAGCTGCTGCAGTGGCAACAGAGCTGTGGATGAGTTGGATGCAGGCGTCTGCCAGTCTATATGATGCTCGTGCAGACAGCGGTCAGCTACCCCCCAAACCATCCCCAAACACCCTCTTTGCACTAGGCCCTGGGGACTCTGAGGGACTCGGGTACGGGCGCCGGATTCAGAGAGCTCAGTTCAGAAACACAAACAGTGTGGAGACTTCAGCTCTTGGAGGAAGATCGCGAACGCCTCTGAGAAGCTGATGAAAGCTATGAACCTCTGTGCAGAAAAATGCACACCTGATTGTGCATGCCGGTCACGTGCCCGTGTGCTGCACAGAGCCCTTGAAAACTCCCTTGAAACAATGAAATTCAGTGAGTGCAATGTCATTCTGGGCAACATAGCCTAGAGGTTAAGATCACAAATTGGAGCCCGACTTCCTGGGTTCAAGTCCTGACTCTTCTACTTACTATCTTTGTGACCTTGGGGAGGTTTCTTAACCTCTCTTTGCCTCCTTTTCATCATCTGTAAAATGGGGATAATAATGGTCACAGCCACTTCAGAGGGTTGCTTAGAGGATAAAATGCATTAATATGAATAAAGGTAGGGTAAGCACAGTGTGCTGAGGGCATGTGACCTCACCTGGGTGGGGGCCATCGGGTGAAGTCAGGCAACGCTCTCTGCAGAGTGGGGTTATGCAATGGAATTTTGAAGAACAAACAGAAGTCACCCAGGTCCAAAAAAGGGAGGGCATGTTTGGCAAGGAGCACCAGGTGCGAACGCAAGGAGATGAGAAAGAACTGGGGATATGGGGGGCTAGAGAAGGGGCTGACCTGTGGGTGCCTCCTTCCCACCCCCTCACTCCTCCCAGGGAGCAGCAGTACACAGGAAGTCTCTTTTCTTGAGCCAGCTCATCTGCCTCCTCCACTAGGAAGCCTGCTTGACCTCTCAGCCAGATGTGCCTCCCTTCCTCTGAGCCCTGGAGCACTTGCCTGGATGCCCTGGGAGGGGGTTTCTGCTATGTCCCCTCATCCTGGGCACAGGCTGATCGCACAACCTTGACCGTAAACTCCTGAAAGGAGTGGCTGTGTTTTATTCCCCGGTACTAAGCACAGAGGCCTGCACACAGAGACGTGCCCCGATGCCCACAGGGTAAAGGCTGTACTCCTCAGCTTGGCATTCCAGACCCTTCATGACTCACCCTTTGCCAATCTTGCCTGCACATCTCCAGTGTCCCCCAGGCTCTGGTCATACCCAAAGGCCTCCCCTCCCTTTCTTGGTAGGGCTGCCAGATTTAGCAAATAAAAATGCAGGATGCTCAGTTAAATCTGAATTTCAGATAAACAATGAATAATTTTTTTTGTATACGTTTTTCCCATGTAATATTTAAAACACAATTATACTAAAAAATTATCTTAAAAAATTTAAATGTAACTGGTGTCCTATATTTTTTTTTGGCAACCTTACCTTCCCTGGACACTCTGAGCCTTGGCAAGTGTTGTTTCCCCTATCTGAAATACCCTTTCCCCATCTGCCTGTTCATCAAGACTTAGTACAAGTACCACCTTTGCTGGGGAAACTTCTCAGATGTCCCAGAAAAAGTTGCAGGTCCATTGTCTCCTCTCCCACCTGTTGTTCTGATATGCATGTGTTTTCTCTAAGGACTATAGGTTTCCCGAAGGCAGAGACCTTGTCTCATTCATCTCCGGGACCGCAGACTGAGCGCATAGTAGGTGCTCACTAACTACCGCCAGGAACAAATGAATGAACATCACAGACTATTAAAACAAAAACCAAAAACCAAAAAACAAAAACTACGAACGCAGGTTGCAGTATCAAGGCTGTCCACTAGGTGCCGCCAGCCAACATGGAATCTGCTGGGGTTTGAAAAGGGGATGGAGTCTGCAGACTGCGTGGGTGGGTGTCCACTTAGAGAGGGTGGAAGTTTTAAGTTCCTGATTATAGGATGGAGATGGGAGGTAACTGCCAGGGGCATAGGTGCCTCAGGAGAATGAGGAACGAACCTCGTGGATCGCTTTTCTAAAGCAGGGAACAGGACAGAGTGGGGGATTGGAAGTCATTTCGAATGCCGATTCTTCCCCTTACTTGCATTGTGACCTTGGGAGAGACCCTTCACTCCCCTGGGCTCCTGTTTTCCACTCCAGAAAAGGAACAATAAACGCCAACCTCTCAGGGTTGTTGTGATCAAGTAGTGTCTGGCACAAAGGAACTGCTCTGGAGACATCAGTCCCCTTCTCTCCTCCCCCGTGGCTGAAGCACCTGTATCTGAATAAGGACTAAGCATTGATGGGTTAGGGGAAGAAATTTAGTATGAAATCCACTAGTTCTGGGGCACCCAGGTGGCTCGGTCGATGAAGCGTCGGACTCTTGATTTCAGCTCAGGTCAGGATCTCAGGGTTGTGAGATCGAGCCCCACATTGGGCTCTGCGCTCAGTGTGGAGTCTGCTAGAGATTCTCTCTCTCCCTCTGCCTCTCCACCCCTCCCACTCACTCGTGCTCTCTAAATAAATAAATAAATAGATAAATAAAATCTTAAAAAAAAACAAAACAGAAATCCACTAGTCCTTAGTTTGAATCCTTACCCGGAGACTATGGGCCAGTGAGCACTGGGTGCATTTCTTAAGCTCTATGAGCCTCGGTCTTCTCATCTTTGAAGTGGGATAACATCACCATATGCCACACAGAGTGGGTGTGGAGATTCAACAGGAAAAAAATGGGTAAAGCTTTTAGCATAGTCTCCAGCACACATAGGGACTTAATAAATATTGGCTATCGCCCTCATTGTTATCAACACCGTGACAGGGTAAGCCTTCACCGATGTTCATGAAATGGATGAATGAATACAAAAGTGAGCAAGTGTCAGAACAAACCTCTCCTTGTCCACACTGGACAACCGTCCACACTGCTCCACGTACCCTGGACAACAACCAATGCAGCCTGGATTTTCATAGCTCATCCCCACCGCGCCCAGCCTTCCTTCCCCTCTGCTCTGCCAAGTAGAAATTTCTGTTGAGTAAACACAAATCGATGAGGCCTACAGGGGCCCATCTGCCATAGGTGGCCCCACAAATGAATCTTCTGGAGCGCTGGGGGAGCCAAAGGGAGCATGAACCTGCTCTGGGGCAGCTACCAAAGGAGGCCAACTCTCCTAGGACGGTGGAGCCGATGGAAATAGCCAGCATGGGTCTGGCCAACACCATTCGTCAGCGGCATCCAGAAGCTTTCCAGCAAAGTGGTTTTTAGCTCCGGGCTCCGGGCAGGCTGGGAAATCCCCAGTGGAGCTCGGGAAAGGCCAAATGGAGAGCCCGCTCCAAAAAGAGCCCTTTCTAAAGAAGGAAAGGAGGAGTGGGAAAGATGGTGGGGGCGGGGCCCACATGGGACCACAGAGCTCGCTGCCTAACTTCCCTACCTGGGAAGATCTGCAGCCTTCATTAAAGAAATCAATGGCAGGCACTGGCAGGATTCTGAAGTGTTAGGGAAGAGCCGGCTGTGGACTTGTCAGAAATCCATCCCGCATTCTGGCTGTCCCTCCGTGATGGAAGCCTGAGAGGCTGGGGACCGAGACTGCTTCTCCCCCTGCACAGCCATCTCCCCTGACACTTGCCATCAACTCCTTTTTCTTTCTCTCCTTAGATCTGCCATCTTCCTGATTCTGTCCATCCATTTCCATTTTATCTCTGCACACCCTCTTGTCTGTTCTCGGCTATACCTTTCCACCCCCGGCAAGCACCACACCTGTATGTACCTCCATATCACAAACCCACACTGGCCCCAGGAAAAGGCACCACCATCCATCGGGAGCTGTCCTTCACACTTCCCTGGTCCCCTGAGTTTCAAAACACCGTCTGAATCTGTGGGCTTCTCACCATCTCTGCAGCCAGCCCCTACGCCATGCCACCATCATTCCTCACTTGGTGTCCCGTGAGAGCCCTCTAAAGGGTCTGTGTCCCCAGGACCCCCTTCCAGTCTGTTCTCCACACAGTAAGCTACAGGGATCTTTAACATAATCTGAGTCAGATCACGTCATTCCAGAACCTTCCAACGGCTTCCCATAGTACTTTAAATTGAATCCAGACTCCAAAGGCGTGGAAGGCCCACCACAACCCAGCCTGTCTCCCTCTCCAACTCCTTCCCTACTAATCTCGCTCTTGTTCATATTGCTCCTCCACACTTGCCTTCTCCTGCCCCAGGGCCTTTGCATGTGCTGCTCTTGCTGTCTGTAATGACTGCCCTCAACCCTTGTCTGTCTGGTGAACTCCTAGCATCTTTCAAGGCTCAGCTCAAATGTCCCTGGAATGAAGATTTCCCCTCACTTATACCCAGATCATGGGTCCCTCCTTGGTGCCCTAAGGACCTTTGCTGGCCCTTCTGTGACTGTGTCACAACTGGTCTCATGGCTATTTATGTCTGGATCTTTGGCTTCCCCTGGACTGTGAAGGCCCTGAGGCCTCTGGGCATGTCTGGCTAATCACAGGATTCCCAGCACCGAGCCCAGGGCCCAGCCCAAAGTTGGTGACAGTGAATACTGAATGAACTGGTGTCCATCTCCCACTGGCAGATGCCAAGCTGCCTCTCACTGCACCCCGGGCCCTGGGAGGAGGGGCTGACCGAGTAGGGCCATGTCTCACCACAGTCACACCGCCCTAGTCCTGTCCCTCTCTTGCCATTTGTACTTAAGCTCCTCCTTCAGAGCCTGGTCCTGTCCACCTTTAAACGGTCATCCCAGAAGCATCCCTGAGAGAAAACCGGAAGGCAGGAGAGCCAGGTGAAGAGCGAGGGCATAGGCCCAAATCCGTGCTCCACCACTTAGTAGCTGGGTGCTCTTGGACAAGTCGCACAACTGCTCCCTGCCTCAGTTTCCCCTCCCATCCAGTGGGGTGAATGGCACTGCTGTGAGGAGGAGCGACAGGTTGGAGGCGGTGTGCGCTCATGACATGTGAGCAGGTGGTGGCCGCGGCTGCTGCAGCTGGTGGCCTGCTGGTCCTGCCACGGCGTCGGAGGCCTGGGGGTGCCGGGCCGCAGGAGAAAGTAGGGCAGAGCAGCCTCTTGGTTTGCGTCTCCAGCAGCCTCCCCAGCCCCTCCCGTCTCGGTAGGAAATGGGTCGGAGGCAGGACCCGCGCCGGGATTCCTCATTTCCGCTCTAGTCTTCGGGGACAAACACTTTCGGTTTCGTTTAATCATAAAGCTTCTTAATTAGTTTTCTTCGTTTTTGAATTCTGAGTTGCTAAGCTGTCCCCGCCAGAGGGGGTGGAAGCGCTGGTTCCTGCAGGGCCCCGGGGCTTTCCTGGGCCTGGGAACAGCTGGTCTGGCTCAGGCTACAGGATGCCTGGCTCCTTCCAGGCCCTGCTTCCCTCACATCCTCCTCAGCTCGGGACGTCCAGCAGCACCTCCTGAGCACCTGCTGTATGCCAGGCTGGGGAAACAGCAGACGTTAAGGCAAGGTCTCCTCCCTGGAGGAACAGGCCCTGGGAAGGGATCCATTCAATTATTCCTTCAACCAATATTATCAAGCGTCTCTTTGGTGCCGGGCCCAGGGTGCTGGGGAGAAGACAGTGAATGGGACAGATGTGGTCCCTGGCCTCTCGGAATGTGCTGCCTAGAGCGGGGGACGAGCAAGGACACCAGCAATCATAAACCAGCTGGGTGAGGCTGCACAGGAGTTTGCAGCCCCCTGAGGCCAAGGGAGTTGGGCTGAGCCGGCAGTTAACAGCGTGGAAGGGTGGGGCTGGGCCTCAGGAGGCAGGGCTCCAGCCAGGGTGGCTGGAACTGCTTCCATCTCTCTTCCTCTCAGCCGTGGGGGAGAGCCTTCTTATCCATTTCCAGTTGCCAACCCTCAACCAAAGCGCTTCCTATAGTCATTCACACCTTAGTCTGAATGCGATCCCCATGACACTTTTCCCAGGGGCCCTTGCAGCCTCTGTGTCTGTTTGGTGCCTCAGGATGCAGGGAAGAAAAGTCTCCAGTCAGAAAGAGAGTTTCCTGGACCTCTGCTGTCGAGCAGCTCTATCTACCCTTGGCCCCCGCACCGAGCAGGCCCCACGTTCAAATGTATGGACCCCACCTGGACTCACAGGTGTAGCTCATGCCCACCATGCAGCAGGCAGGGCAGACGGGAGGAAGGGAAAGCACACTCCGCTAGGGCCAGGAGCCATGCCGGGCACTGTCCCTGTCCCTGTGCAGCCCCCAGTCAAGACAGTCAATCTCCTTAGGACTCGACACAGGAGGAAACAGGCTCAGAGAGGGAAGATGCCTGCCCAAGGTCACAAGGCCGGTTCTGGATGGAGCTGGGATCCGAACCTACAGCTTCTCACTCCTAGTCCAGTGCCCCTCTACAACACCAGGGGCTTCCAACCCCGGGTCGCCGGGTCCTAGAGGGCCCTGAGGGGGTAACAATGGTCTGATTTTAAAAGCTCAAAGAGAAATCGCTCTCTCCCCGTACAAATGGCATCCAGGCAAATGAAAACAAATGTTTTAGCTGGAATCAGAACAACACGGGGAGGGAGGTCTACTCTCACCCTGGAGAGAAGCTGTCTTGAGCAGTTTTAAATCTTGGCTTCAGAATGGGTGACGCTTTTCGGGAAACCAGTTCTTCAGAACCTCAGGCCCACTGAAGTCAAGAGGAAGGGTCTCGGTGAGGAAAGGGCCATGACCACTGCCTTTTACTGAGATTGCTGGCCCGGTGCCCCAGCCCAGAAAAGCACGACTCAGAGAGGTCAAGACACCTGCCTGAGGTCCCACAGCTGGGGAGGACCGGAGTCAGAATTGAGCCCGGCAGCCTGACTCGGAGGCCAGTGCTCTCTCTGAGGCACCAGGGGGTCCAGTCTCGCGGGATGGTAGAACCCCAGGCCCCAGGGAGGTGGGGGTGGGGAGTGTGCCCAGGAGCACAGGTACCTTCTCATAGTACTGCAGCTCATAGTCCAGGATGACACCGTTGGGCTGGTCAGGCTGGGACCACGACAGGGTGATGCTGTCCACGGTGCGGCTCACCTGGTGCATGATGGACACGGCCGAGGGAGCTGGAAGAGAGGTCAGAGGTCAGGGGTCAGGGGCAGCAGGAGAGGGTGCAGCTTCTGGCCCCACTTTAGAGGTGCCCAGACGGACAGAGTGGAGGATCAGAGAGGGGCAGGCATCTGGCTGAGGCCACATAGCCTGCCTAGGGGGCTGACGGGGGGCAGAGGGACTTGTGGAGGACCGTGGGTGCTGCTTTCCTGAAGTACCTGCAGATTTCAGACACAGACAATGCTGGCCGTTCCCGGGGAGCTCAAGCCACACCAAGTGAGAGATAGATGCACTGGGCCCTTCTCTGGCCTGGCCCAAAGCAGCTGGATGAAAGGTGTTCATTCTCTCTTGGAGCTTACAGCCTACTGGACTAGGGAACTTACAGACCCAAGACATGATGATGGGACTGTGGCAGAGGGGAGCAGAGAGGGTCGGAGACGCCCCTGTTCCTTCCACAAATGTGCACCAAATGCCTACTATGCACCAGGGAGCTAGCACTGAATAAAAATGACTGCCAAAAATAAATTTATAAAAATAAATCCATAGCTCCTATGGAAAACAGTTTGGCAGTTCCTTCAAGAGTTAAACATAGAATTACCACATGACCCAGCATTTGCACTCCTAATTTTATATCCCCAACGACTGAAAACAGGTACTCAAACAAATACTTGTACATGAATGTTTATAGCAGCTCTATTCACAATAGCCAAAAGGTGGGAACAACCAAGGTGTTCGTCAACCGGTGAATGGGTACACAAATTATGGTGTACACATACCATAGAATCTTATTTAGCCATAAAAGTAAATCAAGTTCTGACAGGTGCTACAATGTAGATGCACTTTGAAAACACGCCAAGTGAAAGACAGACACAGAGGTCATATATTTTAGGAGTCCATTTGTATGAAATATTCAGAATAGGTAAACCCACAGACAGCAAGCTGTTGGTGGTTGCCAGGGCTGAGGGTAGGGAGGAACGGAGAATGTTCTGGGCTTAGAGAGAGATGGTAGTGATACAGCACTGTGAATGCACTAAATGCCACTGAATCGTACACATGAAAATGGTTAATCGGATAGGAATTCTACCTCAACAAAATCCCTCCCTCCCTCCCCCTAGTGCTGCTAGTTAAAGGAAGGGGACAGGAAGTCAGGGGCAGCCTGTTTAGTGCTAGGAGGACTCTTAGACATAATTTAGTCCCGTCCCTTCATTTTACTGATGTGGAAGCTGAGGTCCAGGGAGGGGATGTGAGCTGCCCAAGATCGCACGGTGAGTTCATGACACACAGCCTTTTTCTGGATTCCTTATTTCATATTTCACCCGGGCCTATGTTTCTGGCCTCCTTTTCAAGTGGAATGAACCTATGCAAAGCTACTATGCATCATCCCCAGCCTGGGGCCCTTTGCATCTGTTTCCTGAGCTGACCGTTGCTGAGGGTGCAGCATCAACCCCACTGACAAGTGAAGACCCTAAAGCTCAGAGGGGCAAGGGGCCTCCTGAGATCACACAGCCCCCACATCCTCAGTAGGGGAGCTGGGATTTGAACCCAGGTCTGCCGGGGCAGGGCTTGTGCCATGAGTTGGAGGGGGCCGGGGTAACTCCTGACGCGGTCCCTCCCCACGGTGTGACTGGAGTAAGCCTCCTCGCCTCTCTGGGCCCGAGGTTTTCATGGTCTCAGGAGCGGCTGAGGACTCACCAGGGTGAAGGGAGCAACTCCTGCAGTCTCTCTTGGCTCCTGGGCAAGACTGTGACAAGCAGATGCCCTGTCTCGGCCCACACAGGGGTATCTGAGGGTTGAGACGGACCCTTTTCCTCCTCATCCAAATCTTACTTCCCAGGTGCTTTGTATGGATGTGAGCATGGAGCAGGGGCCGGTAGGAGCTCATCGGGACTTGAAGCCTGGCAATGACTCACCTGTTCCCTGCTCTGTTTCTGTCCCTTCAGCCTCAGGGTGGAGGGAACACTCTGTTGCTTAGAAGACCCAGGCTCTGCTCCCTGGCTTGCTGCTTACTGACTGTGTGACCTTGGGCAAGCTGTCCCCCATCTCTGGACCTGGCTTTGTCCTCTGCACCAAGGGCAGGCGGCAAGATCCCTGAGGTCTTGCAGCTCGAATGCTCCCTGCCTGTCCTTCTTCGGCAGCCCTCGGCCTGGAGTTGGATCAGCCCAGAGGCCAGCATGAGCCTGAGCAGGTTCGGCTTCCCTTTAGCACCCCTAGTACCAGTGGGAAATTGGCCCAAGACACCTGAGACAGGGTGGCAGCACCAGCAAGAAGGAGTGGACCTTGGGCCTGGTGTCCCTGACAAGCCTCTGTTTCTTCTGCACCTGAGAGTGTGCTGCCTGGCTCTTAGCTTGGCTCCTGGCCCTGCCTCTCGGGAAGACCAGGCCCCCGCTGCCCCCAGTTCTCTCCTCAGTCAAACAGGGGGACTCTGTCTTCCTTATTGCCTCCCAGAGAATCAAGAGACCCCGACGTGAGCGAAGGGGCCCCGCTAACCATTGTTTATTGAGCACCTACTACACGCTGGGCACCGTGCTATGCTCTGGACATGCATTAACCCATTTAATCCCCACCACAGCCTCGAAAGCAGACCTCCTCGAGCCCATTTTGCAGATGGGGAAGCCGAGTATGGAGTAAAGTGTCTTGCCTGAGGCTATATAGAGTAAGTGGCAGAACAAAGCAATACATTCTCACCAGATGCCTGGACCGCGAGGTGACGTTTCTCGGGCTCCAGGAAGTCACTTGAAGGACTTTCAGAGCAGTGCATACGTGTATCATAGTAACAATGATAAAGCCACGAACCTAACACTGACTGAGCCCTTCTTCTGAGCCCAGCACTTTTCTAGGCTCTTTACACCTATCAACATAGGTGTAACAGAGAATTCTCACAATTGCCCCATTAGCTGGGGGCTACTAACATCCCCAGTTTATAGATGGGGAAACTGAGGCTTGGAGCTGTTCAGTAACCTGCTCAACGGTCATGCAGCAGTGCAGTGCTGGGCCAGACTTGAACCCGGCAGCTCAGGCTCTTCACTGGCACAGTGCCCGGCTCCAGGGAAATGCTCCCTGGAGATTAGTGAGGTTAACTGCTAGAGCCCAGTGGAGGGGCGGTCAGAGTGCTCCGTGACTCAGTTTCCTCATCTGTAAAATGCGCCTGAGGGTAACGTGCCCCGAGGGCTGCTGCAGGGAGCAGATGTGTGAACTCGTGTCCACTGCTCAGTGTGGCATCTGGCAGGTGGTCAGTGCCGGGAGCGTTCACCCATGTCACTGGGTTCTTGCCACTGTGCACTGAGCAGCTGACCCATGTCACCTCATTGCGTCCTCTCAACAACAATGCGGGATGGGGGTTAATATCCACAATTTGCAGAGGAGGAGACTGAGGCTCAGAGAAGCATGGTGGCACCGAGCTGGGCCTGGAGCCAGGTTAACCCGCCCCAGCCATGCTCCCGGCCACTGTCCCCTCATTCTCTTACCCCATCTCCAGCCCAGACCCGTCTCTCCCTCTGGAGCTGAGCACTCTGTTCTTCAGGGCTGCCGGAGGCCCTGGCTCCTCTGTGGGGCCAGGCCGTCCACCCTCCTCTCCCGCCTGCTGTGGTCCGCGTCCACGGGCAGAGTGCGCCGTCACTGCGCGTCTGTCGTACCCGTGAGCCTCGGACACACGCTGCACCCACAAGCATGGGAGAGCCGTACTGCCATCAAGTCACAGGGATGTGACCTCAGTCAGCTGGGGCCTTCTGTGGGCAACTGAACCCTCGGATGAGAAGATTTCAACCCGGCCCCAGAGAGGCAGTCCGGCGCAGTGGTCGGAAGCCAGAGGGTGGAATCAGACTTGCAAGGAAATCTGCTCCCCTCTCCCTGGTGCTGTGGCCTTCAGCAAGTTCTCTCAACCTCTCTGAGCCTCCCTTCCTCCCCCGGCTCATCCACTGCGGACCCTTCCCTGGCAAGGATGTCATGAGCACGAACGGAGAAATGCATGTAAAGGCTTGACCACGGCGCCTGGCACCATCAGGAGGGAGAGCTTGTTAAAAACATGTCAAGGGCTGCCTGGCTGGCTCAGTGCATGGGGCACGTGACTCTTGACCTCGGGGTCGTGAGTTTGAGTCCCACATTAGGCATAGAATTTACTTTAAAAAAAAATTAAAGAACACTTTAAGAGGCAGGGGCGGGGGTGGGGCGGGGCGCCTGTGTGGCTCAGTCAGTTGAGGGTTCGACTCTTGGTTTCAGCTCAGGTCATGATCTCAGGGTCGTGGGATGGAGCCCGCGTCCAGTTTCCTGCTCAGCGGGGAGTCTGCTTGAAATTCTCTCTCCCTCTGCCCCTCCCCCGACTCTTGCTCTCTCTCTCTCTCTCTCAAATAAATAAATAAATAAATCTTTTTTTAAAAAGAGGAACATTTCAAGAGTATAGAATGGTGCCAGGGGCTGTGGGCTGGGGGAAAGGAGGAGATGCTGGTCTAAGAGCACAAACTTCCAGCTGTAAGAAGAATCAGTTCTGGGAGCTAATGGACAGCACGGTGACTATAAGAAACAATACCACAGGGGCGCCTGGGTGGCTCAGTTGGTTAAGCGACTGCCTTC